AATGAGGTAGAACTGTTTGCTCTGGGTCCAGTGAGTCACACCACTGTGGAAAAGGAAGGAGAATTGCAGGCTTGTAGCTCAGGGGTGGAAGGCTTGCTAGCAAGCAAGCAGGCTCTGGGTTTGAATCCTAGTACTGAAAAAAAAAAAAAAGCCTTTAATAAGACAATTCCTGCCTAGAATTCAATGCCCCTGGGCCTATCGGCCCGGTGTTTGAGTAAGAGGCGTTATATCTGCATAGTGCACCAGGGGATTGTGGGTAATAGAAACAGAACTTGGAGAACTTGGAGGAAAAAGCTCCAGTCTCTTGTCCTGGTGCTGAGTGGCCAAGGACCTTTGGAAAGTCACTTCTCTCTGGGATGTACTTTAATTATCTGGGACGTGAGCAAGATGGGCAGAGTGATTTCTACGATCTTTTCAAGCTCACAGCCCTGAAGACCCTAAGCAAATCACCTCTGTGACCCTAAGCTGTGGTCTTTCTGAGGCTGTTTTCCTCCTGCCAGGCCCACGTGCTGTGTGGGTTTTGTGCAGTCTGGGAGAACGTGGCTTTTGCAGAGCTGTCCCGGGAGGGAGCTGGGGAGAGGAGCCTGAGTGCAGGCTTGAGTGTATTTCTCTAGGCTTCTAAAAGCCCTTAGATCAGGCTGCTCAGGGCCTGATAATTTTTCCATTAAGAGGAAATAATTTTCTGGGTCTGTTTTGGCTGTATTTATCTGCAGTTGACAGCGTCAGCCACCTCAGCCGTGACATACTGCCCACCCCCTCAGACCAGACCATGTACTTACGGGGAGAAGAAAGGGCCAGAGGTCTTGCTTTCTCCTGGCTGGGATGAAGGGGAACACAGCCACAAAGTGACCCTGGTATCTATCTCATATGACCCTTGGGTGGCCTCAGGCACCTCCTACTCCCTTTCATCCCTAGAAGAGAAATGTAAACAATAACTCCACCATGAAAACCCCCCACTGTGCTCTCTCCGCCCCAGCCCCCACCGGCTGCCTATCGCTTCTCCTAAGCCAGCCTGACAATAACCATTCATCACCAAAAAAGAAAACAAAGTACAGAGAAACAAAAACCAATCTAAGGCCGCAAATTGACGTCAAACTTTGAAAAATGGACTGTGAGATGGTGTGCGGTGTGCTCTGTCTGCCTTCCAGAGCAGACAGGGCTGGGCACCTCCTTGTCTCGAACCCTCGTGGTCTCAAGTTCAGTTTGGAGGTGATTACAGCCGGGGATTTGGCTTGACTCTCGAAGGTAACATTGGGATAGGGACGGGGAGTCTTCCAAGCAGCCACTGAGCACTGTGGCAGAGAATAGCCACCTCTTGCATGGGGAGGACTGCTCTCTTGTGAGTAGAGCTGCAGAGGCTGGGCATATGACAAGGTGACATTGGCTCCACGACACCCTTCTGGATTCTGCTCTCTTGGGAGTTGGGGTATAAGATCCTGGCAGATATGGCTTTAGGGGAGGAAGAGAAAAGTCGGAGATATTGATAGCTTACGCTTGTGTACACAGACTTTAACCAAGTTCAGGTGCCTTTCAAAGGCATGGCCTCACTGGGAGGCAAGCTGTGGGGTGGACCGCTGATCCCACTGGATAGCAGAGAAAGTAAGGGGCTGCTGTCTTCATATTCCATGATCCGCTCAGAATGACACAGAGTCAGCAGCCAGGATCTCCTGCTTCCTCAGTGGGCTGTCCAGAGAAAACCAGGAATCCTTCAAAGAAGTTCCCCAGAGAGAGTTTGAGATGGCAACGGGTCAGAGGCAGACGGAATTATCTTTCTCCTGGGATTCCTCTGGGGACTTCTTACCTGTTTATTACCTGTTTATCCCTTAGATCAGCCCCAGGGCAAGATGGAAGAGGTGGTGATTGGTCCAAGAGAATAATGTGTGAAGGTTTGTTTCTGTCTACCAGAAAACACTGGTCTCCTTTCCTTCCTCCTCCCCCTTTTCTCTCGGTTGTCCCTCCTCCTCTCTGCCCTCCTTCCTCCATCTCTTGGAGTCAGGTCCTAATTCTCCAAATGGGTACCCAGAGCCTTTGGCCTGTTTCCAGATGCTGTGGACTCCCTACCAACCAGCCCATGTCTTTGAAGAGTAGATTAGATACAGCAGGCATCATCCATACGCTCTCTCCTTTCCAGCCCTCAGCCAGTCCCTTGGTCATTGTCCATTTGCTCAGGGGCCTGAACTCTGTAAGAAGAGCCAGATAATCCGACAGGCAGAACAAAGGCAGGCTACCAAGGTTCGAATCCAGGTCCCCCTATGAGCCTTCCATCTCCAGGCAAGTTAATTAACCTCTCTTAGCTTTAGTTCCCTTATCTGAGAAATGAGCATAATAGCACCTCATAGGGTTATTGGGAACTGCGAATGAATTTATGTAAAGAACTTAGCACAATGCCTGAAGCATAATAAATATTCAATAAATGTTAGTTATTTTTGGCTTTTAAACCTACTCATGATCCTGTCTTGGTAGAGGCTAATGAATCACTCCAAAGTTAAAATAGATATGTTTTTACAGCAATCTAATTAAGAACAAAGGATTTTATTCCCTGAGTTACACCTTTGGAAAAGACCCTCTTTGGTACTGGGGTCTTCTATCTAAACCTTCAGAGTTTGACCCAGGTTCCTGGTGTGAATAACCATGTGGACTTCTAGATCTGTCTGTCAACATTGCCGTTTGAACCAGAGCTCACACCCTTCAGCATACGCGCACAGCAGATTCTGGAATCATAGTATATGATAAGAGGGATGTGAGTGGAGAAGGGCAAATGCGGAGGTGTTCTAGGTATCTGTGGCCTGGGTACCATCTCTGCAGAGAGACAGAGGATGCAGATGGAGTCTGGAATCTGAAGACCAGGATTCCAATCTTTCCTCTTTCATTGTGTTCTGCTGTAGTGTGCTGGCTGTTTTTTCTCAACTTAATATAAGCCAAGCTGGGTCATCGGAGAAAAGGGACCTCAACTGAGAAATGCCTCCATCAGTTTGGCCTGTGAGCATGTCTATGGTGCATTTTCTTGACTGATCATTGATGTGGGAGGGGCCAGACCACTGTGTATGGTGCCACCTCTGGGCTAGGTGGTCCCAGCATGCACAAGAGAGTAGACAGAAGAAGCTACAGGGAGCAAGCCAGAAAGCAGCATTCCTCCATGGCCTCTGCTTCAGTTCCTGCCTCCAGGAACTGTCTTGAGTTCCCAGCCTGACTTCACTTCATAATCAGGATATGTAAGCCAAACAAACCCTTCCCTCCTCCAATTGCATTTAGTCATGCATGATGCTTTTTAAACAGCCGTAGAAAGCAAACCAAGACATGTAGACATCATACAATTTCTCTGACCATTTATTTTCTCCCAGGAAATGCTAGGAATACATAACACAGATAAAAAGCACTTTGTTAATGATCTATACTGAGGTACTATTTTTCCTTCAGATAGTGTGAGTCTGAAGTCAGGAGAACTTTAGATTTTGAAAGCTTATTTGTAGTGTGCGTGAACATTCTGGCCCATTTCTTCTTTCCAGGGCCATTGGTTGTAAGAAGCAGCAATTCCAGAGTCTGGGGAGATCGCTCAGCCAGTAAAGAGCTTGCTGTGTGATCATACAGACCCAAGTTTGGACCCCGGGCACCCATGTGAAAAGCTGGGCACAGTGGAGGACATCTTAATCCTAGTGCTGGGAAGGTGGAGACAGGAGACTGCCTGGAGCTTACTGGCCAGGCCAGATGGACAATTAATGAGTTCCAGGATTGGCAAGAGGTCTTGTTTCAAAACATAGGGTGGCGAATGATAAAGACACCTGATGAGGACCTCTGGCTTCCACATACACACACAGTTGCACACCCACAGGTGCACACATCCACATGGGCATATGCATGTTACACACACACACACACACACACACACACACACACACACACACACACAAAGTTGAGACCCCCTAGGTTACCACTGCAGTGTGCATGGAGAGGAATGGTTGATGGGGATGAGGGTCTCAGGGCTGCAGAGTTGCAGGGCATTGTGGGAAGGGAAGAGGTAAGTCTGGTTCAACAGTAGCTGAGCTCTGAATCACTGCCTTCCTGCAGAAGCTTTCTTTTCTGCCTCTGTTTTTGCCTTTCTCAGTACATCTGCCCTACCCTCTCTCCATTCAGCTTACCCCATGTGCTTCTCATTTCCACACACCTTATAACCAACCTATCTGTGCCCACAGATTCCTTAGTGCTGTCTCATACCACCTGCTGCCACCAATGGCAGCTCCCTCTCAAAGTCCCTGTCAAACTCCAGAAGGGACCTGATTTTCACGCTGCCCCCTGACCACAGACCCTTGCCACAGGCCACTTTATGGATCACCTTGTGTGTCCTGCCCACCCGACCCTTTCTTGCTTACCAGTTGCTGGAGACCAGGGTCAGGAACTCTGAGGTGAGGGGAGACCAGGGCTGGAAGGGTATATTGACAACTTTTCTCATAATTGTGACAGAATATTTGGCAACAAGCAACCAGAGAGAGGGAGGAAATCATTTGGGTCTTGGTTTGAAGGCATATAGACCACAGTGGTGGAAGGGATTGGCCTCCATCAGATTGGCACTCAGAAAGCAGGGAGGGAGGAAGCCCCGAGCGCAACTAGATTTCTCCTTTATCTCTTTTTATTCAGTCCAGGACCCCACCAGGGGATGGAACCACCCATATTCAGGGTGAATCTTCTTTCTCCCTCTGACTCCTTGTTGGGAAAGCCTTCACAAGACACATTCAGAGGATGACCCTCGAAATTAACCAGCAGGAGCCAGTTCCCCTAGAATGGGCTTTGGATGGGTTAGTAGACAAGTCACCTCCTCAAAATGTCCTGGGGTCATCTGGAAAATAGAGGGTGATGACGATTGAATGAGGGACTCATGGAAGGTTCCTGCCAGTCCTCTGATCTAACCCGTCCTGCCCCCTCCCAGAGGCTTTCTAGATTCAAATGTTTTCCCCTCTCTCACCTGAGTCAACACAGCAGCCCCCTACCTGGTCTCTTGCCTACAGGTTTACCTCTTCTCCATTGGATCACATCCATTTCCCACCTATTGCCATCCTGATTTTGAAATGTGAAGTTGAGGAGCTACACCACCAACAGCTGGTAAAGATGAGACAAAACCCAGGGGCTCCTATTTTGCTGGTGGGATTGTTTAGTTCTGTGGCATTGGGGGAAGTCAAGGCAGTGATACCTGTTATGACGAGAAGACTATAACTTTTGATTCAGCGTTACCACTTTCAACAGATCCATCCTATGGAAACAAAAGCATTAGTATGAAAGACTGCCAGATTGGGCTGCTTATTATAATGCATGATTTTAGGTAATGACATAATTGTAAATAACCTGGAGACCCAACAGTAGATATCTGAATGCATTTTATTAACCCATACCCTAGAAAATAATATACATATCTTTTAATGAGTCAGTCCTGTAACTGTTGAATAGGGATATATTACAACATGAGATAAAGAGGTTGCTTTATAGAGAGTATCATTCATTTTTAAAAAAGGCATGTACATGACGAGCGTGGAAGGAGGTTGAAAATGGTGGGTGCCTTGCATGGCATACAGCAGAAACCCTAAGTTTTAACACCATTGGTGTTATGGTTTGGGTGGAAAGGCTGCATGCTTGTGTTGCACACTTGGTGATGTTTTAGGGAGACGATGAAAACGCTGACAGAACCTAGCTAGAGGAAACAGGCCCCTTTGAAGATTGTAGGTGACCCCTGGTCCCTTTCTCTCTATTTCCTGTCCACCGTGAGAGAGACAGCCTTTTTCTCGACGTGTTCTTGCCACCATGGTGTTCTGCCTCACCATGGGCCCATAGTCAATGGAACTAAGACTGTGAACTAAAATCTGTACCTGCGAGCTCAAGGGACTCTTTCTTCCTGGATTACAGATGTGAGGAACTGCCTCATACAATCATCAATACTTAGAAGGCTGCTTAGAAGGTGCTAGATGCCTGGGCCACCCCAGAGTTCCTGACCTTGCAGCGGTGGAGTGACCAACACTGGGTCTGATGAACACATCCTGAGTGACATTACTGCCACCCTCCTAGGGAACACACTTTGAGAACCATGGTGCAGCGTAGAACAGGGGTGGGGCAGCAGATGTGGGGATGATTATGGACTTATCTTCATACATTTCATGTTCTTTCACTAGTTTTAGCATGATGATTTTGTCAAATGCTATCAAGTTTGAAGACTTTTTTTTTTTAAGAGAGATGGCTCAGAGGATAAGAGCACTGACTGCTCTTCCAGAGGTCCTGAGTTCAATTCCCAGCAACCACATGATGGCTCACAACCATCTGTAATGAGATCTGGTGCCCTCTTCTGGCCTGAAGTCATACATGCTGTAACATAATAAATAAAATAAATCTTTAAAAAAAAAAAAAAAAAAAGAAAGAAAGAAAAGAAAAGAAAACCAAAGAGTAATCTACCTAGCTCATCTTTGCCGATTTCCTTTCCTGGCTCCAGACGGCCTACAGAGTAAAGTTTAAACTCATCTGAGCACTCACCAGTTTGGTATCACCTGACAGTGCACAGTAGACCTGCCCAGGAGGCACAAAGCTGGCCATCCTTCCCCAGGGAGCCACGGTTCCCTACATCTGCACCTTTCTCACATACCCGCCTTAAATGAATACATAGAGGTTCTTTCTTCTGGATTTGCTGGGGATGGAACTCACAGCCTATACAGGAAGCACTCTCCCACTGAGCCCCACCCCAACCTAGTAGACTTTTCTGTATGTTCCTAGCACTGGGAACAGGCCTGCAAATACAGTAGGTAGGTGCTCAATACATATTAGGGGTTGGGGAGGACAGATGAGTGAACATCTGGTCCCCAGGGAAAACCTCTGCCGTGGAACCTCCTTTTTAGGTAACCTGCTCTGCTCGGCATCTTCTCCCAAGGGCTGGCTGTGCTTCCCCAGGTGCTGGTTTGTCAAGGAACCAGCAAACTAACCCAGACAGCAGCAGGAGGACAGGCAGGTGTGCCGGAGCAGGGTGTGTGTGCTCCAGCCCCACCTGTCTCTCCTCCAAGCTCTTCAGCCCGCTCAGCCTCCCGGAGCCCACTCAGTCTAAGTGGGTAATGGTGAAGGGAGGGTGGAGGACGCAGGGAGGTCCCAGCATGAGGCTGTAAGCAGGCTGCATCCTTATGCTAATTTCTCTTTGGAGCGAGAATGTGTGTTTGTACGGATGAATGGGCACCTATGGATGTGGGTGTGTGAGCATGTGCATACTCATCGGTAATTAATTACAAAGCCTCACGCTTGTGTGGTACTTTACAGTTTATAAAGCATTTCACGTCCATTATCCTATTAAGTCCTCATAAAACCCCGTGACTTATGCTGTGATAGTTATTTACATTTTTGTAACGGGCAAAATAAGCCTTAGAGAGTTTAAGTGACTTGCTTCACAGACGGCACCTTGAGGAGACCCAGGGAATAAAGAGTACAGGTATCCCTGGCCATGTGTCCCAATGCTGATGTTCCTCCTGGTACTCAGGATGACTGAGAGGAGGCATGGTAGGATTTCACAGCATCACCTACTCACCCCACCTGGAAGGATGCTATTCCAGGTCCTCATGCCCCATAGTCAGCATGTCACTCAGTAGACCATGCACAGGCACAGTGGGGGATCTATGTGTCTGCAGGAAGGAATGAACCTTAATGGGTAAGAGGTCACACTTTGAAGTCTAGTAGGTTTAGGTCCCAATGTTATAGCTGTTTCTCTTCCTAGCCATGGACTGTTGGGCAAATCACTGACCCTCTTGGTTCCTTAGTGACCATATCTGGGAAAGAAAGAGAGAGAGAGGGAGAGAGAGAGAGAGAGAGAGAGAGAGAGAGAGAGAGAGAGAGAGAGAGAGAGAGATGGATCTTGCTGACTTTGACTACCGGGCTATCAAATGGTGAGAGTGTGTGCAAGGTGCTTCATACAGGCTCTGGTGTATAGCCAGCCCTCAACAGCCAACAAACCATGATTACCTCAGAGGATGCAGCCAGGGAGGGACTCTGAGATGAAGGGCCTCTTTTACTGAGTCTTGCTGGGTGTCCCTGAGTTGCAGAAGCATGGGGGTCTGGGCAAAGCAATCCCCTCTGTTGTCTCTGGGACCTGGCTTTCTCTCCAACATCCTGTACTGGCAGCAAAGTACCAGGCGTGGGGCCACAAAGGAGGAGGGCACTATTTGGGCACACAGCCTCAGAAGGTATGACTGACAGCTGACTTTAACAGAAGGAGCATGCTGTGGCCGCTTCTTCCCATGGTCAGAAGGCAGCAAAAGTGGGCTGCAACCTCATGGGTACCCAACCTTTAGAGTCCCCTCCCCAGGAACTGAAGGCTCCATAACTTCCCCACATAGCTGAACCAGGTGAACCAGCTGAGGACCAAGTGTTCCACAGGAGCCTATGTGGGGCATTTCCCTGTCAAATCACAGCCAAAAGGTAAGAGCTGGTAAACAGGAAGATCTCTGAAGGAGGCCAGGCTCCTGTGGGCACTGGGGCAGCCAGAGGAGGGGGATGTGGGAGAGTTTGGAGAAGAGGATGGAGACAGCGACAGGGCAAGTGTAGGATCAGGCCTGTAGACGGCTCTCAAGCAGAAGGGGTGTGAGTATTAGGAACTGCAGCCCCTTAGAGGTTGGAGGGTGGAGCCCATCATAAATGGCCCTCTGCTCATATTTCTCTCCCATCCTTCATGCTGACAGGTTTCCTCAGTTCTTGGGTCTCAAAGCCAGGAGATCTGGTTGGACTGTGTTTCCTTTACATACTACCTACATGATCTTAGGCTAATCCCTGAGCCTCTCTGGGTTGCATTTTCCACCTCTGAAAAGTGGATAATGTCAATAATGCCAAGCTTGAAAGTTTATATCGTGAAGATTTGATGGAGTGATGTCCCTAGCCTGCACACGGAAGGGAAGGGACAAGTCTGAGTTATTGTCCCCTAATGAACATGACCTCCCTTCCCCTCTCCTCTCTCCAGGTGTGAAAATGACCACCTGGCCACAGAGAGCTGAAGAAATGAACCTGTGTGGACAGGTGTCTTTCTTTCCTTTATCATCTTGGCAGAGCATCCACTATAATGGAAGCAAGGCCCTCTGGGAAGAAATCTGATCACAGTGACAGAGACCAGGTGCCTCAGAACCGGAAGAGAAGTGGAAGATGGGTCCTGAGACTTCCTCCGTGAGTACTCACCTCCTCTGGTCTGCCTTCAGTAAGGACCCTTTCAAGTAATCATTCTAGAATGTTCAAGATTATCTTTAATTCTCCTTTCTTCCTCCTGGGTTCAACCTGTGATTCTTTCAACAGATATTTTTTGAGCACCTGCTACGTGACAGATGCTATTTCATATCTGTCTGCACTTTAGACACATTCCTTCTAAGACCTCGCCTTAAGGTAAACCCGAGTTTTATAGAATGCCCATGACAAGAGGTGGGACCGTCTCAGCTGATGCTGAGAACAAACACAAGGTGTGGTATCCAGTATTCTTATTCGACAGATTGAGGTCCCGGGGGGGGGGGGGGGGGGTCAGTGATTCTGAAGAACTTGCCACATCACCTAGTTAGTGGGGAACTAGAATTGAACTCTGAGTGTTGGGCTTTTGAGATTTAGTTCAGCTATTATTTATTCTCTGTCCCTAGCTAGGACTGGTGCAGGGACATCCTCACACTGCACCAACCTGTCATCCTCCATACTACCACCAAATCAACTTTCGGAAGTGCCACCTGCCTAGGTGACTTTCAAAGACCCTCTTCTACGACTTCTTCACTCCTCTGGTGGCAGCCTCCGGTCCCCAGATGTGGCCTGTGGTTTCCCTTACTTCTCCAAAAGACTAAGCCCTCCCGTGCTCTGTGTGGCCCTCCGCCTCCAGTCATTTCAGCTACAGTGAGCTGGACTCGGAAGCTCGCTGCTTCCACACCCATCAGCACTGTCCGGCCTCAGGAAGTTCCTTCCCTGTGGACACCCACCCTCCCTCTCTCCTCTCTGAGAGGACTTGGCATGATCCTGCTGAGGAGTCAAGCTGGGAAAGAGTCTACCTGCAACTTCCACTTCAAGAAGCAACTCACTGCATCCTTAAAAAAGAGAACAGGAAGAATAAGATGCACGTTAGCAACTCGATGCATCATCGAGGTGCCCAGGCATGGGAGAGGAGGACCGAAAAGGGCAGTGCTCAGAGTCGAGAGGGTTTTTTGTTTTTCAAGATAAGGTTTCTCTGTGTTAGCCCTGGGTGTCTTGGAACTCACTCTGTAGACCAAGCTGGCTTCAAACTCACAGAGATCCTCCTGCCTCTGCCTCCCAAGTGCTGGGATTAGAGGTGTGTGCCACCACTGAAGCATCCCTCTTTAAAAACTCTAAAATCTGAAAGGCTCCCAAATCTGAAACTGTGTGTGTGTGTGTGTGTGTGTGTGTGTGTGTGTGTGTGTGTGTGTGTGTGCGTGTGTGCATGTATATGCACCCTCTTGCACATGCGAAGGCCAGAGGAGGACATGGGTGATTCCTCACCTCGCCTCCTTGTGACTGAGTCATTGAGTCTAGAGTTGGGCAATCATCCAGCACACCCAGCGATCCCCCTGCCTCTGTCCTCGTAGTTCTGGTTTTACAGGTGTGCATGCTTTGATGCGAGTGCTGAGGATTCAGACTCAGGCCACGGTGCCGCACAGCAAGCAGTCTGAACCCACAGAGCCATCCCTTAGCCCCCGAATTCTGACATTTTTGAATGATGACAGCGTGAGAGTCCACACCTGACCCCAAGTGAAGAGTCAAAATTTAGGTGCAACGAGAATGTATAGAACCACTGCCATGCTGTGTGGATGTTCGGAAAACACCTGAAATTTCATGTTTAGACTTGGGTCCCCAAAACATCTCATTATGTATATGGAACTATTCCAAAATCCAGAAAACTCCGGTATCTGAATCCCTTCTCACTTAAGCATTTGGAAGAAGGGATGCTCAGTCTGTCCCGGGAGAAACACTGTTGGGGCTGTTTTCCTTTCCAGCCTCCTAAGTCACCAATGGAGAGGGCTGCCCAGGAGGGGAACTGGCCTTGGCTCCTCTTCCCCCAGAGCTTGGCTAAGGTTTAACAAGGCAGAGGATTTGTTTATCGAATTTGAAATGTGGAAAGGGTCCAGGGGGAAGGTGAAGAATTTCAAAATTCTTGCCAGGGCTGAGCAAAGAAAGATCTCTGTCTGTCCGTCTGTCTGGAGGTCTGGGTTTGCTCCAGTGGCACTGTGTGTGTGTGTGTGTGTGTGTGTGTGTGTGTGTGTGTGTGTGTGTGTGTGTCTGTGTGTGTGTCTGTGTGTGTGTCTGTGTGTGCGCACGCACTTCTGTCCTCCCTGCCTGGGCTTGGGTGCTAAGTTACCCGAGAAAGGCTGTGTGCCCACCCCTTGGAATGCTACATGCTAATGAAGGAGGCATTCCAATGCTGCTCCCCCAGGGCCCTGAGCCCGGGATCACATCTCCATTAATACACCCCTGGAGTTCATTGTGATTGGCATCGCTACAATAAACAGTAAATGAGTGAATAATAATTGGCCATCTATTTGACAGTGTTTCTGAGGTTGCCATGGCAATCACACCTTTTATTAAGCTTTATTAAGCTGCAACATAGGCAGTGAGGAGGCAGCAGCCTAGCACCCTGGGCAGCTGCAGCCAAGTCTGACCTGCTCCATGACCGTTTTTGTGGTGGGTTTGGGGGCGGCTTGTGGGATGGAGGGGGTGCTAGCTGTAGGTGCAGATGCCAGGTCTAGGGACACTCCCTTTTCATTGATTAAAAAAATTCACCTTCTTTGAGAGCATTTGGGAGAGACTATGCCCAACTGGAGATGTGAAAGGGTTTGTTTCTGACTTCTCTTTTCTTCAAGTATCTGAGAAGTGAAAATTGAGGTTCTAGGGACCAGATGATGTTATTTTATTTTTGCCCTGAGCATTTCCCCCAGAACCACGGTAACAATTAAACTAAGGACAAATCTGGAAATTAGAACCATGATGGAAATCACTCAGGGAAGGTGCTGTTATCTATCCTGCCTTGAGTGAGTCGGCTCCTCCCCACCCTCTGTCAATGAGCTCCGCATCCCATCCCTCTAGGCACAGGAAAGGGCTCCTGTCAAACAGCCCAGCACACCAGATCACTGTCATCGCCTCGCCGCCGTCCACCAGGAGCAAGACTTGAAGACTTCCTAATGGCAGCGTCATTTGCACATACAGGAGGAAGGAACGTGCCTGCACCCTGGGACAGTGCCCTATTCTCTCTCTCTCTCTCTGTCTCTCTCTCTGTCTCTCTCTCTCTCTCTCTCTCTCTCTCTGTCTCTCTGTCTCTCTCTCTCTTTCTGTCTCTCTCTGTCTCTCTCTCTCTCTCTCTCTCTCTCTGTCTCTCTCTCTCTCTCTCTCTCTCTGTCTCCCTCCCTCTCTCCCTCCCTCCCTCCCTCCCTCCCTCCGTGTCTCTCTCTCTCTCTCTCTCTCTCTCTCTCTCTCTGTGTCTCCCTCCCTCCCTCCCTCCCTCCCTCCCTCCCTCCTTCCCTCCCTCCGTGTCTCTCTCTCTCACACACACACTGTGTGTGTATGTGTACTAGTGTACTTGTGCACAGGCCAGAGGAGGTTGTGAGGTGCCCACTCTACCACTCCCCACCTTGCTCCTTTGAGACAAGGTCTCTTGCCGAATTTGGGGCTCACAGTTTTAGCTAGGCTGGTGGCCAATAAGAAGCAGAAATCCTCCCATCTTTACCCTTTCCCCCAAAAGTACCGGGGTGGCACACTTGCCTTTGTCTGTGGGTGCTAGGAATTTGACCTTGGGTCCTCATGCTTTTCTGCAAGGGCCTTTACTCAAAGAGCCATCCCCTCAGCCTTCTACCTTATGAGACGGGGTCACTCACTGAACATGGCTCTACAATCCAACTAGACTGGCTGGCCATCAAGGCCCAGGAGTTAACTGGTTTCCACTCCCCCAGTGCTGAGGCTACAGGTGCATGCCAGGTGCATCTGTTTTTTAACAGATTTTTTAAATTAATTAATTTAAAAAAAATTTTATGTGCATTGGTACTTTTTTGCCATGGGTGTTGGGTCCCTTGGAACTGGAATTACAACAGTTATGAGCTGCCATGTGGGTGTTGGGAATTAAGCCCAGGTCCTCTGGAAGAGCAGCCAGTGCTCTTAACCTCTGAGCCATCTCTCCAGGCTTTTTAGGTGGGTGCTAGGGATCTACACTTAGGTCCTTATGCTTGAGCACCAAGTACTTTGCTGATTGAGCTGAACCCCAGCTAACTTCTGTGACGAGAAGTCAAACGCAGTGGGTAAAGAGCCATAGACTGCAGCCAAAATAACTGTTGGTTAGAACAGGGGCTTGTTCTGACACCTACTGTGACCCTGTAGGAGAAGACTCCTGCGTGGAGGTGGTCACAGAGAAGGGGAAAACATGGTTTCTTTTTCAATTACAAAAGGTATATTTTATGTTGTCTGTATATTTTAAGACTTCATTATAGTGTAGATGGTGAACAGGGTTGCTCGAGTTAGCAAATGAAATACAGAACACAGAGTAAAAATGGGAATTTCAGGTGAATATAAAAAACTTCTTAATGTAAGTCTTCCCAAATATTGTATGTATTTTTATTATCTACTCCTTTTTGTTGGTGTGATAAAATGCCATGGCCAAGGGCAACTTAAGGAGAGAAACTTACTTTGGCTCCTGGTGACAGAGAAAAAAAAGAGTCCATCATGGTGGGAAAGGTGGGAGCAGGCAGACATGGCGGGGGCCGGAAGCTAGAGCTCATGTGTCCAGTCACAAGCAGGAAGCAGAGAGAACAAACAGGAAGTGGAGTTGGGTTTTAGTCTCAAAGCCCGTTCTCAGTGATACATATCTTTTTTTAAAAAAGATTTATTTATTAGGTATACACTGTTCTGCCTGCACGTCAGATCCCACTATAGATGGTCGTGAGCCACCGTGTGGTTGCTGGGAATTGAACTCAGGACCTCTGGAAGAGCAGCCAGTGCTCTTAACCTCTGAGCCATCTCTCCAGTCCAGTGATGTACATCTTCTAGCAAGGCTACATCACCTAAGCTCCCCCAAAAGCACTACCAAATGGAGACCAAGTGTTCCATTTTCTGGGACCAAGAGGGGCGGGCACTTCTCATTCAAAACACCACAGCAAGCCTAACTGTGCAATATCATTTGATCTAAATTCTATGGGGGTGATGAGTTAATGTGTGAGCCATCCCACAAACACACACTTCCAGGGTGCTTCAAGTAGGTAGCACATGGGACCCCGTGTTAAAGATACACTCCCTAGACAGTTAGTGCAAGACTATCAGCAGCTATTTTTTTTTCCTCAATCAATACCAGAGATTTTGCTAATTACCGTAAGTGGTGTTACAAAATTGTCTTCTTTGGTAAACCAAATAGAAGTCCATGTGCTCACTCTACCAGAAGTGTCAAATGTGAGGCTCTTGCTGCCCTCTCCAGAAAGGTCTACAAACTTAGGAAGTCCAATGACCACACACATTCCTCAAAACAATGCACTAAGGTTCTAAACAAGCCCCTATTTAGACACTCATCAGAGATTCACTCCTAACTCAGTGCCCAAGGAATGCTATGTTTTCTTGCAAGGAGCTTTCACCCAGAAGGGCCAGAATGACATTGACATCACTGGATAGATGCTTTGTTTGGGGCCAGCTTGCTAATAAATATTTGTATGCACGGGAGAGCCAAGCCTGAAGTGTGCTTTCACTGAAACACACCTCCTGGGACTGGGAGCATTCCCTCAGCCCTCTACAGAAAGAATGGATTGGTTCAGGTCAGTTTGGCTCAGAAGAGAATCTTGCAGAGGAAGAAGCAAAATTTTGGTTCTCAAATGGGTCTGAATAAACAGAAATGGGGGCTTTGCAAAGCCTTGGGGGCAAAAATTATGTGCAGAAAAAAATATATCACTTTTTAAAAATTACTGTTGTGGGCCAGCAAGTTGGCTCTGCAAGTGAGGACACCTGTCACCAAGACTGAGTTCCGTCCCGTGATTCACAGGATTGGAAGGAGGGAATCAATAACTCCCATAAATTGTCCTATGACTTCCGCATGTGGCATGGCACACACATGCCCACACACATATGCATATACACATGAAGAAGTGCCATTTAGAAATTATTATTTACCGTTGCTAAATGTGCAAGTTGACAGCACAAAATATACTCATAATTCCATGCAACCACAGCCATGCTCCCTTGTCAGGATTTTTCCATTACATAAATGATAGTCATTCACAAGCACTTCTGATTTCTACCCCTCCCCAGCCCCTGGCAACCACTATGCTATCTTTCCTCTGGGCAGATTTGCATACTCACATGGCAAACATCTTTTTGCGTGGAATGATCCAAGACAAGTCTTGGCAGTATTGTTGGAGTCAGAAGTTCCTTCCCCTTTAAGTCCAAATGAATTCATTGTATGTGTGCTCCATCTACACCTATTCACCTGTTCAGGGAAGTTTTTCTAACAATGAGGTTGAGGTTCCAAGACAAGCCTCAGTTCTGGTATTGCTGTGTTACCTCGGGCAAGTCCCTCAGCTACTCTGAGTCCCATTTGCTTCATCTCTAAACACACCCTCTTCTTGTTCCTTGGACCTTGGCTGCGAAGAGCAAAGCAGGGAATGAGTGTAAACAGCCAGGGCCTCATCGTGTACTGCAGCAATAAAAAAAGAAAAAGAAAAAAACAGAAAACAAACCTTTTTCTTCTCCAATGCTTGCAATTACTTCCGTTTTTCAAGGTTTGGCCTGTTTTCCAAACACGATTGAATGTAAATATCTCGAGGCTCCGTATCTCGTAGCTCAATTTATTACAAAACTTTGAAATATTTAAGAGTAAATTCAATTAGTAAAAGTGTAATTACTGCCTCGGAATAAACTACACTTTAAATTTTAATATGCCAAAGAGGATCGCTTTCTGAGCAAAGCAAGCACTGTGTGATGGATTTTTTAACATTCTTAAACTAACAAAGTGACACACGACCAAGAAAAGACACTAAAACAATGATTCTATATTTCACCCCCCCAAAAAAACATACCCCTACCCCCAACCTGAATTGAAGTAAATGGACCCCTTTGATTTGATGGCGTCAAGATTCCATTCTGTGTATCTAATCAAGGTCTATTTTTCTAGGTGAAATTTCCCTGCTTCTCTAACTGGAAGGAAGGAGCCTGCAGGGGGACAGGCTCCCCAGAAGGAGGAGGGAGAAGATGCTAAGAAGAAGCTGTACTTAGACCCTGCTCCTAGAGATGCTTGGCCCCAGAGGAGCACTCAGGTCGGGGTGGGGCTCTGATGAAGTAGGATAGACCACAAGGGACTATGGGACTCTAGTGCATGACTAGGGCCGATCTTCAAAGACACCTGGACATGTAGCAGCCTCCATGTTCTAGGCAATACATAGACCCCAGGAGCTCTCCAACAGCCTTGGGTCCAGTGCCGGAAAGAGAGGGAAAGGAAAAAGAGGGGATGACCAGACCAAGAGACAGTGCCCGGAGCAGTCTTGCCCTGGCCTGTTCACAAGGTCTACTTTTCAATGAAGCTTCCAGCTCACGGGAGCTGAGAGGCGTTATGCTGGCCAAATTCCCTCACCCGAGGCTTCCCAGACACTTGGAGGGCCAGTAATTAGTCAGTAATTACCCCATTTATTGCCTCGTTAGAGGGACCACCTTTTG